TGAGGGCGCCACAGTGGTCATGTGACTCGCTGACGCAACAATAATCTTTAATCTGTGCTTTCCTGATGTAGTTTTATCTTTTCTCCTTCATCTGAATTTAATATCAATACGGGTATCTTCTCGTCTCAGCATCTTTCATACTATTCCCTACCTCATCCTCCTTATTTCTATGATTCATTGAACATGGCTCATGACATTCTTCTGTGTTCTTGAATCGTCATTCCATGGAACCTCTTCTGCCTGCTTGGGGTTGATCCATTGTCTTCAGTATCCCTTACCAGGGCTCACTTCTCCCATTTTCACCTGCTCCTTGTTCTATCCCTTTGCTATTCTTTTCTCTTATCTGGGGCTCTCTACTGGGACAAAAGTAGTTTTTCTCGGGTATTTACAGTTGGTCCTTTTCTCTACTTAGGCCAGGGTCTCATCATTGGCTCACTCTTCATGGTTTCTCTGAAGTTGATATCTATTCAGACATATCGCCCTTTTCTCTGTCCTTCACCTTCCTCAAGCCTCTTTAAGTGGCTTGGATCCTACTCCATTCACTTCCCATATGGCCTTTATGGTGTTCCTCTCACTTTGGAGTATTGTACAGAAGCTGCTTATCATATTTTTTCTTCTCATTTCTTTATCTTCCCCCTCCCTCTTGTCTCTTTCTGTGTATCCTCTTTTGTTCTGTGTACCTTGTCCTTTCTCACGTTTTCTCTTCCTGCTCCCTCTACCTCTTCTTGCTGTTCACCTACAAGAGGGTTAGCTTTTGTCTGTCCTGCCAGTGACTACCTCTCTATGTACCCAATTGGCTCATGTTTTATGGGGGGCACTTCATCGTTAGCCTATGGACTCACTTCATGAACGACAATTGGGTCAGTCAGATTCTTACCCACTGTATCTCTTGTCACTTCCCTTCTCCTTTCCTCATTGTTTTTCCTTCACCTTCCAATCCTCAGCACCTCCACCATCTTGAGGACACTATGTTGTTTTAATGCCATATAAAGTTAATTTCCCCTCTGTGAACTACTATTCCCAACCCTTTATTCTCCCCATGAATACTGGGAGCTGACATCCCCTTATCATACTTATTCTCTAAAGCACTTCTAATGATTACACAGTTTTAGGTTACCGGGTTTCTTCTTCTTAATGGGTTGTTTTCTCCCTAGTTTTTGCATTAAAAAAGTCCGTGTCTTGGATGCCTTTCTTCAGATTCCAGTAGCCCTGTCATCACACCATTCCCTTCAGTTTGACCCCATGATACAATATACTGGTTTTGAACTCTACCCTTTGGTATGGCTTTTGCTGACCACATCCAAAGCCTCAGCCTTCATTTCCATTCCTTTCTGGACATTTTGCTTCTTTTTGTTTTTACTTGGTAGATCTCTTCTACTGCTACATCCCTTCTCCTCCAAGAAGTTGTTTGTCTGAGATGGATGGTCTTAGTTGTTATTAACTCTGACTCTATATTTGATTCACTTCAGAGTCATTTTATCTTTGCATCTCATTTGGGCTCATTCTTCTCCATTTTGTCTGCAAGTCATCGAATGTCTGTTCACCTCAGGATTTGTCGGTCACCAATCCCACAACCAGATTCTCTGAGGACAAACACAGTCTGTACTGGCCTCTTTTGTATATTTTCCACCTTCCATCACATGTCTTGGTGATGTTGCATGACACTGCTTGTTGAATCCTGTTGGTAGCACTTTTTTAACTAGTTCTGTTTTGGTTTCCTCTTCTCCACTGATGGTATATCTTAGACATCTCTTCTTCTTCCACCATCGAGGTTCCTCTTGCTCCAATCCTTTGCATTATTTTTTCATCCAGGAGTTTTGTCCTTCCGTCTCTGCACGTGATATTGTCCATTTCATACTTGAAGGGTAGTTTCTCAAAGTGTGTTGCCCTTCTTTTATACCCCTCATTTCCTGTTTTACTCTTTCTTCACCAATGCGAGTGGCGTTTTTATTGCCACTGGTTCATCAAGCACTCTAGGCCATACTTCTTCTTTGCTAAGCTGTTTGACTAGACAATGGCAAAATATCATGTGACCTGGTCAACCACCTTTCGCCTTTTTTTGCCATGGTTTAACTTTTCCTTCCCTGTTCTTCTATCATTTTCTGGTCCTTCTTTTTTCTCCTCGCATGGTTCATTTGCCTAATTGGAACATTCTTGTGGTTCTTTACACTCTTTTTTCAGATCATGTATGAACTCTTGACCACTTGTTCCTCCTCTCACCTTTCCTTAAAGGCTTTTCCCCTTCCCATTCTAGCTTGAGTTCATCACCATTTCAACATATACACTTTATATGCCTCCCATACTATGTTACACAAATCTTAATCCTTTTTGTTCCCTGACTGGTCTTTCCTTCCATATACATGAGCAACTTTTGAGAAAGACAGATCGTTTTCTGCCCTCAATGGTCTTTACGACCCTGGTCATGTTTTATGCCCCAATTAGGCAACCCGGTGTTGCTCAACATGCGTGGCTCTCTTTCAGGATGCCCACAATCACCCATTCTTGCTGCGTAACCCCACAACAACCAGGGATCTTTATTACACTATTTATACCAGTTGGGTTCAATACTTCATCTGGATAATTTGTTCTTCCCTAGTGGATAACTCTCACAGTTTGTATCACGTCACATCTCTTCAGATTCATCCCTTAACTCACCCTGACTTCACTCATTTGGTGACCAATGGACTAGATCTTACACATAAAGGGAGGCTTTTAACATCTAACAAACCTTAATTTTTTGGTAGTTTCATCTCTATCTAGATCTTCTCTCTCCAGTTTCCATTCTTCAGTTTACTTGCTAATTTTAATGGGATAAGTACCTCATTTATCTCCATTTCAAAACTGGCTCGGTGACTGATGTTGCCTCACAGGGTGTACATACTTTCCTAAATCTGCATCAAGTCAGTGGTCACGAAAAGTGTTAAGCCCATCTCCCATGGTTCTTATGTGCCCAATGTTAAGATGGCATTTTCAAAAGGCTAATACAGTGGTGGGTATATGTGTGTATAGGTTTCATTGAAACTCATTGCCATTCCCAGCTCCTAACCACGGGGTGGTCGACTTGAGAGTTTTAACTAGTTGTGTGATCCCTTTGAGGAGGGTATCATAATGTGGTGGTAAATAGAGCAGGGGTGTCCTTGTCAGTGTAGTGCAAATCACTCCCTTTTATATTGTATGCCTACTTCCTGGTGGTTTTGACCAGCCAGATTGAGCAAGGTGTTCTACTAGAGAGACAGGAAGAGATCTAGTCCTCATTATTGTGCGTATAGCGAGTAAACGTACAACAATATACATAAACTGTGCAGTTTGAAAGTGTCCTAGCTACTCCACATCTAATGTCCATCCAACCTGCTGTGTGCAAAAGCTCAGCTCAGTTGGTAATATATATTTTCTACCAATCCCTGCAACATACTGGCTCATTTTGAGTATGCACTGTCTGAGAAGGATGTGGTCTTCTAGGATTGTTATCCCTCTGGTAATCCCCCTTTATTGGGTATCACATTCCATGGACTTTCTCTTTTTGATGTCTTCTCTGAAAAGAGCTCAAATGAGTTTTCAGGCTGGCATGGCCTGGTGATTAAGGTGCTTGATTTGCAAATTGTGGGTCGCGGGTTCGAACTCCCGTCACACCGAACATGCCCTTTTAGGTGCAGTTGAGTTATAATATGATAACCAATCCCACTGTTGGTTGGTAAAAGAGTAGTCCAAGAGTTGGCAGTGGGTGGTGTTGACTAGCTGCCACTCCTCTAGTCTATCACTACTAAATTAGGGACAACTAGCAAAGATAGCCCTTGTGTAGAATTCGCGAAATTTAAAAGAAAACCAAATAAAATTTCTCTATCACACTGGACTCTTCACCACATCGGTGTGGGATTCTAGCTGGTGTGAGAAGAGGTAAGTAGATCATTTCAGAAGTTATAATTTCCCTATACTGTATGTATTTCCAATAGGTACGTATCTCTCTTCACATAAATAGCTATTCTCGTTCAGTGCTGCTCTTTATATGCAAAAAAGTATTGTGCATGTTTCAAGTTTTGAAGCTCCCACTCATCTGGAATTCACTAGTTCCAATGCATCTCGCATGCAAATCATCATGCGACAACCCTCCACCGATAAGAGTGTGACATGCTCTCTTGACGCATGTGACTCCTGTATTCAATTCTACCAAACTATCATTTCGAGTTTTGGCAGAAAATGGAAGCACTGGTTTTCAGTGTGGGAGGAGGTAAGTGCCTATCGGAAATACATTTTCAGTATAGGAAAATTATAACTTCTCATACAGTATATTACCTCTACTCACATAAATAGCCAGAATCCCACATTGCACAGGTGGAGGGACTGGTGCGAGGGAAAGAGAGAAGTATCATTCATAACCATCTGAAGTAAACTCCCAAAGAGGAGATCTTCAGAATCAAAGATCATACATGGGGGATCACACCACTTCTGTACCAGGTATACTCTTTACCCAATGTGTAAAAAGGTATCGCAGATATGGGTGGAAATAGGGAGTAGCACACCCAATAGGGAGAAAACTATGGTTGGACGGGGATCTGAACCACACGATACATTAATCTCAATCCTATAATACATAAATGATTAAAAGGATGTGCCGCTAGGTGTAAAGTGGCTAGGGCACGATGGATCGTACATGGCAAGTCAACTATATCCAAAACCCAAGCTGCCAGGAACCGAAATCTTTGTGGGGTAGGAAAGGGGATCATACCCCTAGCAAGTCGGCAACAATCCAAAATCCAGACCACTGGGAACCATTATCCATGTGGGGGGTAGGAAAGAGAATTATACCATCTTCACCTCAAGCTCATGAAACCAGAGGGAATATTGTATCCCCCAACCTATGAATGGGACACATGATAGCAATGTGAGAAATTGATTTATCGATACGGGAACACGACATCCAGCATCGAAAAGATGTCTGTGTAAGGTAATCCATCTCACCCAAAATCAAAATGACAGGAACCACCCCAAGCACAGTAACATCCTTAGAATAAGAAGAAGATTGAGGAATAACAGAAGGGGAAGAACCATATAAATCTGCAAGTACCTCCACTGTGATCCACAACATGGATGGAGTAACAAGAGTATAATTGAGTGAGGGAATAGAGACATCTGTAATACATGTGTGAGGACTTATGTTGTCTGGTACAGTTCTGAATCCAAAACCAAACCACTGGGAACCGACATTCACGTGGAGGTAGGATGAAAAATCCCAATTGAAGGGGTGAACTGCAGTTTTGACTGCTCACTCCAATGCTACATAGTGGAGAATATCTTGTCATCTATACAAGCAGAATACCACTGCCCTACTCTAAAATGAATGGTCTCATTTGTATATTGTTTCTCATTATTTCATTTAGGAGGATGCCTCATATTCTACCACTCCAGCAGCTTGGAACTGGAAAGTAGTAAGGACTCTGAAACTTCACTAGAAGAAAAGGGGGAAAGCATGGAAGAGAGTCCAGGGGAACGACAACACCTGAGACAGTGCAATGGGTGACCATGAAACCCTATTTTGAAAAGCAGACCATACCAATTTATTAAATACATGGCATGGCAGGGATGGGCAGCTATCTTCTTCTGCTTTACCCATGTAGTCCATCGGTGAGTATGGTCTGGGATGGGAAAATTAATGAAGCAAACATATCGCGAAGAAATCTACAAGGGATCATGTGGAACACCACATCTCAGCAGTGTGTAGGTAGTGGCCATGGAATTATGTGTTAAGTCATCATGGCCTTACAGTGCAGCTTTGACTAATTTAAGTATATCTGGACAGGTACCACTTGCCACAGAGCGGAATCCATAAAGAAAAAGAGGGACATGTCCCTGAAAAATAATAGGTATAGATACTAAAATGTAACTTACCTAGTCACAGTCTCACAAAGAGTAAAGAATGGCAACATGTCGATGATGGTATCCCGATAAGGAAGATAATTTACCCAAAGCAGATAATGGGAGATGAACGTATGAGATGGAGTCCCAGTGTTCGACAGACGCAGTACCTCCAACGGACGACAGGGTTGTTATGCAAGGAAAAGGGAAGATGCATGATGGGAGTGAAAACATCAGGAATTGATGACGGAAAGAAGGAGACAAGGAATAAATTCCGTAACCGGGTAGAATTATAAAATAATTCCACTTCTGAATAATTTAACAAGTTACAAATATCACTATTGAATAATAGAGATTAAACTTGTTTGAGAGAAATTAATACAAAAATACGAAAAAAAAATAAAACACTTGAAGAGAGCACAAACTCAAAGTTACAACACGAATGCTGCCAAAAACGAGAAATGATGGTTCGATAGAATTGAATAGAGGGTGTCACATGCGTCAAGAGAGTATGTCACACTCTTATTGGTGGAGGGTTGTCGCATGATGATGATTATGCAGACACATTGGAATCAGTCAATTCCAGATGAATGGGAGCTTCAAGGCTTGTGACATGTGCAAAACTTTTTTGCATATAGAGGGCAACACTGAACGAGGACAGCTATTTCTGTGAGAGGAGGTAATTTACGGTATCGGAAGTCTACATTTTCCCACCTTTTCACCGTATTGCTGGTGCATATTATTCTTGCCTCGTCTGAGTTTGAATTTAATTTCGAGTGCAAGTGCTCATGGGGATCTACTGCGCATGGTTTCTAGTGTTGTAAGTCTGCAAACATACTGCTGTGCCACTGGGAAGCTTAGCTGAGGAATCGGTTTCAGATATCCAAAACGAAAGTCAGCTGAATAGAGATTATACATAAAAAAAATCATTTGATCACTCAGATCCATTTCTTTCCCGAGGCGACCTGCATTAATTATTCATAGTGTTTCCATGTGTGTACACTTTCAATTCTGTTCTTATTTGTTTAGAATGTATTTGCTTTGCTTTGTTTTGAATTTCGAGTATAGAATGTAAAGGAAAGCGACAATACCGTGTTAATTTTTGGGCCCATAAATGGCGGAGATAAAATGTGTTTTAGGTACTCGTGCATTTCTGTACATAAGATGAACAATAAAAAAATAGCTGTCCTTGTGTTATAACTACTTTTAAAACAAAATGATACACTAAATTGTAAAACCTAATAACATAATTTCAAATGATATAGTAAAGACCTATTACCAGGTATTTATTTGTCCAATTCAAACATTCATAATCTAAAACACATTTATATATATTTATTAATGACACAAATGTATTTTAAAAACGCTGTCAGATTAATATAAAAGTTTTAGAAACTTCTTTTTAAATCTAATACGTAGCTCAGCGTGAAATACCAGTCTGTTAATAATATAACATAAAATAGTATAACGATATATTTATTAAACACTAGGTGTCGCTAGCTTGTATTAATAACACGCGGGAGGTTGGAGTTTCGAAACCTAAACCTCAATATCCCAGTGTTTTATTAAAGCTATATCTTTACGCATGTAATGTTTTAATATTGAATGGCAGAATCAGGAATACCCATGTTCAAGAAGCAAAAAGTTCCTTTACCCGTTGTTGTCGTAGAAGACCACAATGAGGTATGTACTTTGTTAGCATGTATATAAATATTAAAATTTGAAAACATCTTGAAACTATTTAGATTGGAATTAATTTTTATTTTATTTTTATCGTGGAGGTGACCTCTTTGGGTTGAATGGCTGGTGATAATTATAGTATACCTTTGTTTATTATTCCACTCCTTTACTTGAAATATTGTAAATTTGTTTTTAGTATTATGCCATAACTGTCATATAGATCTGTAACATTAGGAAATCTCTCGTTTATTATTTTAATATATAACGTTTTGCCAATTTTACATAAACCATAACCAGTGGTAATTTCTCTTGATGTTGTCGATTAATATTACAATCATGAAATGATAAAACCTTCCAAGAAGGCTTACAGGGGTACATACTCTGTCCTGGATGTATTTGGAATGTTTTTGGAATATCTTATTCATTTATGAAGACATCTGAGTAGAACTGGTTTATCCTGTTAGGTAAATATGTCATCACTATAAAGACATTGTAACAAATAAGGTAACATCAAGCAATTCAGCCCATTAAGCCACCAAAACAAACAATCCAAACTTAATATGATTTGTTGTATCTATGTGTACCTATTCAGTTCTAGTCTTAAACAAATTTTTGTTATTGTGAGTAAGGGATGGTCTTAATAAATCTTGCTTTTTCTTATATTCTTAAAAATTAACAGCATATATCATCAGTTTATATGGTATCAAAAATGCCAGACTGATCTAGGCTTCATAGTTTAATATTTATTACCCATATTCAAGTTTCCAATCTTATTATTTTTTTTTACACACATAACAAATTATCCATAGACAGTTTACTTGTTTCCTTAATCTGAATCAATTTCTGGTACACTTCAGAAGAACTTCTCTTTATAGCCTCAATTTTTATACCAGCTGTAAAGTATCAGTTTTCATTTAAAATATCTATACTCTCTTTGAAAATAGATATATAAATGTAACACAAACTCAAACTGAAACTTCATCAACATCTTATACAAGGTCACAATAAACTTCTTGTTCTCGATCTAAATATACAACTATTGCTTGTATTAGTTTTTTTATGAAAACCAAATGTTCAGCCTAAAATTTCAAGCATTTAACAATAAATACATCTGTACCATTTTTTACTTCCATGACATTAATGCTCTTCTCACAAAAAAGTAATATATTTTTAAAATGTTAACACTAAAGTTGCATCAGCTAATACTTCTTAATATTAAAACCATCTTCCTAATTCTTGACTACCAGTAATGTCTCCAGGATTATGAAAGTATGTGGGCAAAGGGGTGGCAGACTCTATTTCAAAATTATAAGAGTGTGTCCCAGAAGGTAAAACAAGAAGCCCTGAAGTAGGATTACTTTTGCTGCAGAATGCTTTCATGAATTTTTTGTTTTATTTTAGTACACACACAATAGGTAGGTTTCGTGTATTCTCATTTCTTACTCTGACTGGCTGCAGAAGTAAAAGGACCAACCAGAAACTGGATGATGTTTCGTTGGGTGGGGTTTTCTTATAAACAGTTGCCTGGTTTGTGAAAACAGTCGTACCATATTCTGTGAGATGTAGTTTTTAGTGGGAGCTTTGGGGGAAGTAGATGGCAATGTAAGCAAATATTTAGGCTCATTTTTGCAACTGCTTGATTCCCCCTGATGTTTCAACTGTTTGCTACTCAATAGGACTATACAAGTTCTTATTTAAAGTAATGTTTATAGAATTAGCCTCTTATCGGATTTTAATACAATCACTATTTATATGTGATTTTTACTGAAAATCATTATGTATTTTTGATACAGTGTACAGTATGGATTGTGGCTATGATTGAGTAAAAGAAGTGAAACTTTAGACTTGCATGTATACTAACAGTGGTTGAAGTGGGGTTGTTTTTGATGTCAACATAGGAAGAGGGAAGATGATGATGGGCCATGCAACCCACTTATCAAAATAAAAAAAAAATATATATATATATATATATATATATAATTATATATAATACTCTATTTTTGAATTCAACTTAAATGTAGCCTTTCACATCTATATACCTATCTTAACAAAATGTGAAAGTAATTTAAATTAACTGCACAAACCACATTATTAGGTGAGCCATTCTATAACAAACAACCCCTATAAAGACTGTATAAACCCAAATAGTTTTGTACATTTAAATCATGTCTCCGCTCTCATAAATCGTTGGCATTGCTGAGAAATTCTAAGGTTTGTCTCCTAGCTGAACTAACTTTAACCTGGATTCATTCTAGTAGCATTTTTCTTCACTTTTTTCCAACATACTAACATCATTCCTGTAGCAAGGGGATCAAAACTGCACAAAGTGCTTTTTCTATGAGCCTTTTCAGCCCTGCTCATCAATGCACAATTCCTATATATTGAGACAAAAACTCAGTTTCTTTTTTACTACAGCTAAATATCCAGCAGGGGGCTTTAGAATTTTATCAGTAATGATAATCTGTTAATGCGTCTGATAATGTTGATGATTATTGGAGCTAACTGTAGTTGAATCTTGCATAAAAGATGAAACTCTGTTCATAAATTAGACTGTTTATTGATGTAGTTAAAGGCTCACTTGAACAGAAACGTTTTTAATGACTACTAATGATATTTATGGCTGGTGATATGTGAGATTATAAGTAAGGCTAAATAATTGTTGGTTTCTGATGTTCTTAGTAGTTTTTATGGATTTTCACTCTCCAAGTGATTGTAACATTCCAAGTGCAGCAATAAATATGGACCATGGTTTCATTTTCAGCATGGTACATTGTATTTTTAACTTAGATTCTAAAAATTATGGGTTAAATATTTTGAGACTGTTAATAGATATGAAAGCTAAGAATGGGTTAGGCTACAAAAAGTTATTTAACTGATTAGTTCATTCTCACTACTCAAATAAAGGCAACACCAGTCAATAAATGTAACAAGTAGCCTATCCATATCCTTAACAGTTTTGTAAACCTAAATTTTTTTTCCTCTTCTTTGCTCTGACAAGAATAAATGTAGTTGTTTAAGTGTTTTTTTTTTACATGCTTTATTTTGTGTAAGTCAGCTAGCATTTTAACATCTTTCTTTTGCATTTTCCCAATTGCTTCAAATAAGATCAAACGGCAGCATAATCATAATATTCTTGATCTAAAAATTAAAATGTCTGTAGGTATTAAAAAGGATTACTATAATTTTGTTAAAGTTTGTTTAGCAGATTATAAAAGTGGGGATTGGGCCCTTAAGGGATGCCAATGGCAAGGTTTTTTTTGATGACTAAAGGGTGGCTGAGTCTTTAAATGTTTTCTTTTGTTTTACAAGACAAAACATTAGTAATGTTTCTGACCTTGAACATTTTATGAGAAATATAGAAAGAATGAATAGTGAAAGATAGGTAAAGCATCAGGGATAGAAAAGATTTTTCCATTGGGTTTTAAAAGAGGTCAAAAATATGATATATGAGGTCTTCTCTCTCATTTTTCTTGGTCATTAGACAGTTGGCAAGTGCTTGAGTATTACAGAATTACTAAAGTCACTTGTTTTTTTTTGTAATGGGTGATAAAGAGTTGGCCTGGAAATTATAAGCCATTTAGTCTTACTTCTGTAGTGGGAACAAGTCAAGAGAGTCTGATAAAAGAAGCTTTACAAAATCATTTAATGAAATATATCAGAATTGAAAGACCAAATGGATTGACAAAAGGGAAATCTTGCCTTAGTAATCTAATTTGATTATAGGATGGTTGGATGGAAGTAAACAAAATGGAGTCCAAACAATCTGGAATTTTGTTTCTAGTAGAATGCCTAAAACATCATTGTTCAGGCCTGTAATTTTTTTATTTACATTAATTATATTGATAGGGAGGTATTTAGAAGAAAAAAGTAAAGTTTGCTGTTGTCATTGAACTCTTGGGTATTTCTAGCTGTATTGAGAATGTTGAGATTTTACAGGATGACTTGGATAATTTGGTAAATTGAAAAAATATTTGGCAAATGATCTTTAATTATAGTTAAATGCAAAGTAATGCATTTGGATTATCATAATTTGAATCACATGGTTAACACTGATGGGAACCAATTCAACAGCATGACTAAATAAAATTATCTTTATATACTGGTGTATAAGCTATCAAAGCAGTGCTCTGTTGTAAAATTAATAGAACTTTAACACATCTTTATGTGTTTATTAGTCAAAAGAGGTAATTATATTTCTGTACAAATCACTGGTTAGGCTTCACTGGGATTAGTTTGTAAAGTTTTGGTCTCCTTATCAAGAAATAATATTGACTTTTTGGAACTGGCTCAGAGGAGGGCTACCAGGATTATTCCTGAAATGGAAGGGTTATTTTATAAGGTAGGTTAAGGTCTCTTACATGCTTTTTCTTGAAAAATAAAAGTGTGAGAAGTGATTTTTTTTTAAGATTACTAGATTATCAAGGAGATTGATAAGATAAAGGCCTCTGATTTCTTTGTGCTATTTATTGAAGATAACAGGGTGCTTGGCTTATGGCATGAGTTGCCATCAATAATATTGGAGGCCAGCACCATACACGAGTTTAAGGATGGGTTTAAAATATTACTTTTCTCAAGTTTGTGTCTGCATAGACAATCCTGAAGGACCTAATGGCCCTTGTTGTATGTATATTATGTTAAAAGTCCTAACTGAAGGCATAAAGGAATCAAAAAGTTAGATTCAGTTTTTTATATATTTTTATTATAGGTAATAATTTATTGAATGGTTTAATATTTAATGTGATGCTCAGCAAATTTTGGATCTTTTAACACTAAGAAACACTGTGTGCATTATGTCCTTTTTGTTTTGAGAGAAAGCATATTAGATCAGTGTGCCTGGCTGTGGATTGAAAGGTCCAAGCTATGAACCCCTGTGTGCAACTAAACTTACTCTGAACTTGTCAGCTATGGCCACAAAAAGCTTGTCCCCTCATAAAGTTAAGAGTAACTGTGTAGGTGATGTGTGTTTGTGATAGGTCGAGCTCTTTCTGGTTAGCAGTTCTAAA